ACTATAGATAGTAATGCACTTAATAATTTTTATTTAATTAGATAATGCACCAAAGAATATAGACATGCAAAATGTAGACAAATTCACTTACCTCTCAAATTTTTCTGGCTTTCTAACTATGCAACAAAACCCGTTACAAATTCATCCAAGCTAGTCGTTAACTTTCCCACAGGAATTAATCTTGTACTGTGAGTGAAATTGACAATATTCTGTTCAGAATACAATGTTATACAATACATCATTTGATAGATGAAAACCTTGACGTTCTATTGGTTATAGGTAATGTATAATGAAATGTAAGAGAGAACTATCAACGAATTGTGAAAGAGAGGATATGACAGGTGGGTGTGGCAGGAGGGGTCTGATTTTCTATTCGATAGCTCTGTAACCAAACAAAATTGAAGACTATAAAAATTATGGTTTGTCTGAGCAATGACGATTTTATAGAGTAATTTACATTTAATTTCTTACTTTTTCGAGGGGTGATGGATAAAATAGGGATGATGACATGCTAAGACAAAATATGTAACGTGGGTCACACTAGTAGAAATTTAGGATATTTGTTAATATTCCCCTGTAGATTTAAGAACTTAAAACTTGTATACTATTAAAATATAGCTTATTAGCTAAGATTTTATGCTATTCTGTTGTTCGTCCTTCGAAGTTCGAAGAAGACCACGACATCATTTGGTCTATCTGTGGATACGGAGATGGCTCAGGAGTCCTATCCGAGCCAGGAAGTACCTTTTTTTTTTGATGCTATTCTAATTGGTATAACATAAACAAAAAGTAGTTTAATAAAAGTTTGAATGCAAGACACTAAAACCTTGTGTCATGCACAGTAAAGGATACGCGAAGCAATAGGTTTAAGCACTGTACATCTTGTATGGTAGCCATAATAAAATATAAATTGACCAATAAGAAAAGAGGAGATGCTATTTGATATACATAAATTGACATTTGGAATTTTTTCTTTATATTTTTTCTTAACTTAAGAAATTAAATTATTTATAATATTAAAATTTGAATTATAAACTACATTTTGATAACAATTTCATTTACATACAGTGATAATGAAGTTATTTAATAAAATTTTGAAAATAATTATCTAAAAAGTTGTGACCTGCACTCTTTAACCTGCCCATAGCAATAAGCCTAACATTACAGTTCAAACAGTAACATGCATCTCATAAGTTTGTTTGTAGAGTTTGCAGGTTGGAGGCTATCCTAATTAAAGTAGAGGCAATAATTAAAGAGAAGTGTAAACTGTAGGAAATAGCAGCAGGATTTCAAAAGGATCATTAGCTTTACATGTAAGGGACACATCAGCTAATAATGATATTCAGGAAGTTAGAAATAGTACTATTAGGGCTAAAAGTAGTGGATTTCATTGTAATGAGCAGGTTCTATTGAGCAACAAATTTCAGCCCTTGGCTTGTGCAGCTGAGGAACTAATGGAAGGAAAGAAAACAAAAGGGGCAGAGAAGGATGTGAATGATAAACTTCATTATAATTATGGGTGATTCTTTGACAAGATATGTGGATAGCATAGTCTGTGGAGTAAATAGGGGGGAAAATAATTACATTATGCTACCCATGGGCATGGGTGAAGGATACAACTGACGGAGCAGAGGATATAATAAAGTGGGCTAGCAAAGATGCAGTTTTTGTTGTGAATGTAGGGCTAATGATGTAGGGAAAGGTTGGCTAGAGGAACTAATTAATACGTACAAGGGGTTGAATAAAGGCATTTAAAGAAAAAGGCCATAACTTAATTTTTCCAGGAATACTACCCACAATTAATTGCGGGAATGAAGTTATAAGTCGGTCACTAGGACTAAATGCTAGGCTGAGGTTAAAATTTAAAGATGAGAAATTGGCTAATTGGACTTGTGAGATCAGTTTAATGGGAGAAGGGAGCTTTTTTGAACAGATGATTTACACTTATATAGAGTAGGGACTTGTTTGTCTGTAAGGACTATTAATTCAACTCTAAGGGAAATTTCAAACTAAGACTAGACAGTGGTGAGGGTCATGATAAACTAAATGCAAAAAAAATAAGATGTAGAAAAAAGTTTAGCAAAGGAAATTAGTATAAAAGTAGTTCTAAAGGTAGTTTAATTGTCGTTATTGTAATGCTAGAAGAATAAGAAATAAAATAGATGACTTTATATCACTTTAAATAACTGAAACATGTTTAAATGTAGATGATTTTGATGACAGAAATTTCTTTAAAATACAGGGTTACAGGATATTTAATAGGGATAGACATCAACAGAGATAAACAAACTTACTAAACAAAATATTAAACTACAAATAAAGACATCAACAGGGATAAAATAATTAGACTACAATAAAGACATCAACAGGGATAAAAAACTTACTAAACAAAATATTAAACTACAATAAAGACACCAACAGAGATAAAATATTAAACTACAATAAAGACATTATACAGTAACAGCTAAGAACATTATACACTAAAAGATAGGAACATGATACACTAAATAGGAAAATAGATGAATAAGTTGTTGAAATAGGAATTTTAGTTCTTCTAATAGCTGTTTATGTCGAGTTTAAGTGTATATTCATAGTGACAAACACTGTTCTAATAGCAACGTGTAGTGCAATTCACTACTTGTTTTAAAGTTTATATTAAATGTAAATAACATAATTTATTTTTATCTTTGTAGGTGTTGTTTGTGCTACTGAGGCTGCACTTGAAAGCCTTCATTTGGGAACTGTGAAAGGGAAAAGTGTGGCGATCCAAGGAGCAGGAGGTATTGGTAAGTTGGTTGGCTCTTTGGATGTCAGTATTGTAGTTTAATAATTTATTTGGTAAGTTTGTTTATCTTTGTTAATGTCAGTATTGTAGTCTAATATTTTGTTTAGTAAGTTTCTTTAGTCTGTGGATGACAGTACTGTAGTTTAATATTTTGTTTAGTAAATTTGTTTATCTCTGTTGATATCTTTATTGTAGTCTAATATTTTATCTCTGTTGATGTCTTTATTGTAGTTTAATATTTTGTTTAGTAAGTTTGTTTATCTCTGTTGTTGTCTTTATTGTAGTTTATTATTTTGTTTATCTCTGTTGATGTCTTTATTGTAGTTTAATATTTTGTTTAGTAAGTTTGTTTATCTCTGTTGTTGTCATTATTGTAGTTTAATATTTTGTTTATCTCTGTTGATGTCTTTATTTACATGATACACTAAAAGATAGGAACAGGATACACTAACAGGGAGGAACATTATACAGTAACAGCTAAGAACGTAACAGCTAGGAACATGATACACTAACAGCTAGGAACAGGATACACTAACAGGGAGGAACTTAATACAGTAACAGCTAAGAACATTATACACTAGAAGATAGGTGTATCATGTTCCTATCTTTTAGTGTATAATGTTCCTATCTTTTAGTGTATAATGTTCTTAGCTGTTACTGTATAATGTTCTTAGCTGTTACTGTATAATGTTCCTCCCTGTTAGTGTATCAAGTTCCTAGCTGTTACTGTATCATGTTCCTATCTTTTAGTGTATAATGTTCCAACCTGTAATAGTGTTACTGCTTAAATTTTTAATTATCAGTAAAATCCAATCATACAAGTATCATCATAAGGATTATTTCATATCCTATTATGGCTTAACTTTTTAATTATCAGTAAAATCCAATCATACAAGTATCATCATAAGGATTATATTATATCCTATTATGGCTTAACTTTTTAATTATCAGTAAAATCCAATCATACAAGTATCATCATAAGGATTATATTATATCCTATTACTGCTTAACTTTTTAATTATCAGTAAAATCCAATCATACAAGTGTCCTCGTAAGGTTTTTTTGTTTTATACAACATAAATTACAAAGAATAATAACAACAAAATATAAATATCATAGCAATATATATAATTTATCTTCAGCTTCAGAGATGCAAAGCTATACTTTGTTACTCAGAAACTCCATTTTAAAACCAGTTTCATTACTGAGCACGGAATTCACAGAATAAGTCTATACACTAATGAAAAAGGGAAAGTAAAGTTTCTGAAACTTAAAGTGTACATTAATCTTTATGTATTGTTTCTTAAACACAGTACTCACTAGAAAACACATTTTCATAACATATGCAGACTAACATATTACATGCAGTTTAAACCAACTGGTGGTTAATGAGATGATTTCACTGATTGGGTTGGATTTGCAGATTTGTTGTTACCTCATGTGAAAAACGATAATAAGCCTTGAATTTGCTTTAATCTCTATGTTACCTAATGTGAAAAATGATAATAAGCCTTGAATTTGCTTTAATCTCTGTGTTACCTAATGTGAAAAGGATAATAAGCCTTGAATTTGCTTTAATCTCTATGTTACCTAATGTGAAAAAGATAATAAGCCTTGAATTTGCTTTAATCTCTATGTTACCTAATGTGAAAAAGGATAATAAGCCTTGAATTTGCTTTAATCTTTATGTTACCTAATGTGAAAAAGTTTAACAAGCCTTGAATTTGCTTTAATCTTTATGTTACCTAATGTGAAAAAGGTTATAAGCCTTGAATTTGACTTTAATCTTTATGTTACCTAATGTGAAAAAGGTTATTAAGCCTTGAATTTGCTTTAATCTTTATGTTACCTAATGTGAAAAAGGTTATTAAGCCTTGAATTTACTTTAATCTCTATGTTACCTAATGTGAAAAAGGTTATTAAGCCTTGAATTTGCTTTAATCTTTATGTTACCTAATGTGAAAAAGGTTATTAAGCCTTGAATTTACTTTAATCTCTAGAGTATAGAAAAGCTGCTACCTCTTCCCAGAAGGTTTGCTGCATTTACTGACCCACCAAGGTCTCCTGGAATACTGACCGTCCAACGGGTGCGGGAATGAACGTTGGTCATGTCGGAAATGTTCACACCAATATCAATACCTGTAACTGATGAGAAACACAGCTAAATCTACATTCTATTGTAAGTCTTAGCCTTTTTGTAAACACATAACACAAAAAAGTACAATATTCAGGTAGAAATTTCAATGCAAACATATATATATATATATATACTGATATGGAGAAAAACAGAATTTAGTTTTCATCTCAAGGATATGACACCTAAGAACAACAAAGAATCATTATCTACATATTAACAAATCTTGTTTGCATTGAGGTGTATGTGAATTAACTGACTAAGTGGTTATCTGCTCTTATAAAAGAAAATGTTCCCAAGAAATACTAAAATTTCTCAAATACTGCATAACATTTTAATGAAAACATCATTAACTGTGAGGGTACCCAACAATGCATTCTAAGCATTACAAATAAGAGTAGAATATTTAATTAGCTATATTCACTACTGGGTTAGTTATTAATCTAGGTTTCTTATTTTGATTGGAAGTTAATATTAATAACATTGCTATCACTAATGATAAGTTAGTGAAGTTGAAGATCAGTTATGGATTCACAACAACTAGAAAACTAAATTTAAATATTAATATAATGACTACCCTTCTCATACTATAATAGGGCTCTGTTGGAAGGTTCACTCACCTGGCAGGAATTTTAAAATAGCTCTAAAAATTCGTCAGGCAGCATTCAAGCACTGATCAATTTTTTTATTATTGTTAAGAAAAATCATTCAACAATGTTTGAATAGTAATCACGCATTAAAAGTCATTTAGAAGGAAAAATTGTGTTTGATCTTTTGATTTGTTTAATCCCAATTACTTAAACAAAAGTTGTTGTATTCAAGAAAAAAAATACACACACACCACAAAAATGTTATACATAGCAGCTACTTTCTTGGATTGGGGCAAACTATTATGGTGCAGCATAGGGGTATGTTTAGTAGCTGCATTGCTTCAATAAAGTGTATTGAATGACAAGTGTACAAAACACAAGAGAATTTCTATGGTAAAATAAGTATGAAACATAAAATATTTGTGGACACTATTAACTTTAACAATGAAAAAGGAGTGTCAGTGTAACTTTACACTCCCCCCTTCCCAAGGTGCATATTTAATTAATCAACAGTGTTGTTTAAAAACATCTGACTGATAATAACACTATCTGTTTTAGTTGATTGTCTATTTGTTTGAAGTTAAGCACAAAGCTACATAATGAGCTATCTGTGCTCTGTCCACCACGGATATCGAAACCCGGTTTCTAGCGTTGTAAGTCCACAGACATACCACTGTGCCACTGGAGGGCCTGTTGTAGTTGAAGGTTCATACTTGTTTTCTAATCAAACTGTCAGTGTTACCCTGTTTTGTTTTGTTGTTTATTTATTATTAGATATGTTTAATCAACAATAGTATGTTAAAAAGACTATGACTGTTAAGCTGCTTGGAATAGTAACTGTTAAATAAAGGTTTGCTTTGATTAAGTCAGCTGCAGTTCCTTTAATTGGCTCAACAGGGTGCTCTTGCAATGCAAGCTTATTACATGTAGCTATATGAGTATCATACATATGTTTACCTAATCAACATGTATTTCTTATTTACTTTTTAAATATAAAAATATCATTACTGTTTGGTGTGACGAATTTTTCAACTAGATTAAACACTGAAGGATTTTCAATCAAATATAAACTAGTGGTTATAGTGATGACATCAGTAAATTATGTAAAATTCTAATTTTCCTATACTGAATAAATATTTCTGTTAGGTACTTACCTCATCTCACATAAATAGCTATTCTTGTTAAGTGGTGCTCTCTATATGCAAAAATGTTTTTTGCATGCTACAAGCCTTGAGCACCCACGTACCCTACGATCAACGTGGTTCAACTGTGTCTCATATGTAAATTGTCATACAACAACCCTCTACCAATAGGAGTGCGACACACACTCCTGATGTATGTGACCCTTCTATTCAATTCTATCGAACTGTCACATCGAGTTTTGGCAGAAAATGGATGCACCTGTTTTCAATGGGGAGAAAGGATAGGAAGTGTAAGAGGAGGTAAGTATCTACTGGAAATATGTTTTCAGTATAAGAAAATTAGAACTTCCAATACGGTACATCATCTCCCCTCACATAAATAGCTAGAATCCCACATTGAATAGGTGGAGGGATTGGTGCGAGGAAAAACAAAGAAGCATTCGAAGAACACCCTAAAAGAGTAGATTCTTGCATTAGAGTATCATATGTGGGAGACTGCACCACTTCTATACCAGGTATACTCTTCACTCAGTGTAGAAAGAAGTGTCACAGACATGAGCAGAAAATGGGAGGAGCACATCCAAACGGGAGAGAACAATGGTTGGATAGGGATTCGAACCACAATATATCGGAATCTCAATCCAATAGAGTACATTAATGTAGGAGAGAGTAAAAGCATGTGCCCCTAGGCGTAGAGTGGCTAGAGCACAACAGACCATACACAGTTAGTCAATTGCATCCAAAACCCAGCTGCCAGAAATCAACATCCACATTGGGGTAGGAAAGAGAATCATACTGCCAGCAAGTCAACTACAATCCAAAACCAAGACATCTGGTGGGGATATGAAAGAGGATTATAGTGTTGTCATCTCAAGTTCAGCAGAAGAGAGGGAATTTCACAGTCCCCCAATTTGTGAAGGGATACATGACAGCAAAGTCATAAATTGTTTGACAAATCCAGGAACCCAACATCTAGACAGTCGTCATAATAAAAATGTCTCTTCAATGGAAACTAACCCATTAAAAACCATCTGACAGAAATCACCCCCAACTCAATAACATCCTCAGTATATGAAAATCATTGAGGGATAGCAGGTGAGGAAGAACTGTATTAACCTGCAAGTTCAACATTACCCAAAACACAGGTGGAGGGGACAAGAGTATAAATGAGTGAGAAACAGAGACACTTATAATACATGTGGGAGGACTTATACTGATTGGTTCAGCTCTGAATCCAAAACCCAGCTATTGGGCACTGACATCCATGTGGGGGTAGGATGAAAGATACCAACTGAAGGGGCGAACTGCAATTATGATGGCTCACTCTATAGCTAAAACATCCCCCAGATAAACCCATACAG